TGTGTCTGAACATATTCCACTTATCTTGAGGCATTTCTTCTGATTAGATTTAGAGTAATTAAATGTAGAAACTCATTCTGTTAGACTTTTTACCTTTTTACTTTTTATTTGTTAAGGAAATAAGTGTTTCATACTTACATCATAAAGGTTTCACCATTAACTCTCGATAAGTGTACTTTGTATGCTTATATGGACCATTAAATGAGGCTGACTGTTATTAATTTTGCTAACTTATGACTTAATTATATTTATATTTATATTTTTCTTTTTGTTAGGTAGAACTTGATATAAATTTATTAAATTGGACAAAGGTTGTTAGGTAAAGGTTGGGGACTAAATTGTGAATTTTTAATAGTTGATTCGGACATGATTGGACTAAATTGGAAGCAATTGGAAAATGAAGAATTAGAGTTGCATGAAAATGGGTCTTAACATGAATATTATCCAAAAGGTGGGACCGAAACACACAAATCTGAAAACTGAAGTTGCGCGGTGAGTGGAAAAGCTATCGCCTCTGCATCGGCTTAAGCCAAAATGAGTCGATACCCAACAATTTGTACAGCATGCATGCGGCTTGTATGCCTACATGCACGCATTGTGGAAAACTATAGACTGTCGCTGCAATTTCGTTTTAGACCAGAATTTTAATTGGATTGAAATTGTACACGATGTTGGGCAGATTCTTACATTCTTATATATGCAAAACTTGTTGAAACATTGCGAACTTTCTTGAGGCTCTACTTACACAATTAAATCACATAATTCATCAAGAACAATAGGCAAATTGCTATATTTTGAGAGATAAGATCAAACCCTAACAAGAATTGGATGTCAATTACATCAAGAAATTGAAGATTTCAACTTTAGATTTGAAGATCAATATCTTTGCATTATTTTATGATTCGAGAAATATTTTCTCTTATTCTTTTTGTAATTTATACAAAATCAAACTAGCCTACTTTTGTTTTTCTAATGGATGAAGATGAACCCTATTAATTATTTATTTTAATTTAACACTAGCAATTTAGTATTTCTTGTATTTTATGATTAATCTTGCATTCCCATTGTATTATTTAATTGTTTATACCAATTAGATAATTAGTTTCTTATTATAGTGTTGTGAGACTCACAATAAATTTAAAACGTGGCAAGGTTAACACACTGGTAACAGATGTAAGGAGTAACAATATCACATGTGCAATCATATAAATAATTTAAAATATAATGCATTCTAATTATTCGAATTCGTATTATTAGAATAGAGCTAATTTATTTTGGAAAGGAAAGTTAAACACATTATCTTTATCAATTGTTAAAAATGCGTGAACGAAACTAGATTACATAATTGAAAATAATAATAAGTGGATTCAAAATTCAATACAATCATCCGTAATTTTATACAAATAACACTTTTTACATACTTTCAAGTCAGTCCATCCACCATTTTCAAATTTATATTAGGAAAGTTCTTAGTTCCCTTCTTTATCCTTAATTTTTGTATCTTGTTTCTTATAACTTAGACATTAAGGACAATGTCTGTTATAAGTTTGGAGATAGCAAACACCAAGTATGTTATCTATTAGTACTATTCTGTGTGCTTGTTCGTGTAAAAAAAGGACAATTTAGAAACTAATATATATATATATATAATTTTAGAACAGATTTTAGTATTGTTTATGACATTATTGAAACAATAAATGGTTATACAAATGGTTTGGTGCACTTCTAAAATATTTTAGGTGTTTAATATCTTGTAGAACTTAGTGGTCGATGGTGAGGGGCACATGGAAGCGGTAGTGGTTGAGTGGTGGTAGTGGTGGTGGTGGTAGCAAGTAGTGGAGATCGAGTTGGGGGCCAATGGTGGAAATCTATGTGGAACTGGTTATGGTGGACGATAGGGGAGGTGGAGTTATACGTGGAGGTGGATATGGAGATGGTGCTGATGGAGGTGGCTGTGGGGTCAGAGGTGGTGGAAATGCAGAAAGAGGTGGAGACTTGGGTAAAGGAGGTGGTGCAAATCTATGTAGAGGTCGTGACGATGATGGTAGTTGACAACAAGAGAATAGTAGAGATCTACGTGCAGAAGATGGTAGAGGTAAAGATCTTTGCAGAGGTGGAGATGGAGGTACACAACGAGAGGGAGGTGGAAATCTATGTGGAAATGGTGTAGATGGAGGTCACAGTGGCAATGGTAGTACAACTGGTGGAGATCCCGGTAATGATTGAGTTGGAGAGCCTGGAAGTCGGTATCTCTATGAAGGTAGAGGTGGAGGTTATTAGGACTTGGGGTTTCATATTAAAAGTTCATTCTTATTAAGAATGGTAGTCCAAACCCTTATAAATTGATCCATATTTTCATCATTATTCGTTGTAAAATTTGATCTCTTAACATTCCTTGTAATATGGTGGCTCATTTGAGCAAATCAATTTTGAAATTTGTGTGCTCATTTTTTTATCTTAATTGGATCGAATTCTATTGAAACTTAATAAGCTCTGATACCATATTAAAATTTGTAGTTCCATCTTAAAAAGTCAACTTTATTAAGAGAAGTAGTCCAAATTCTTATAAATTGGTTTATGTTTTCAAATTTATTCGAAGTGAAATTTTATCCCTTAACAAAGGTGGAGTTGGAGATCAACAAAACAACAGCAATTGTATTGGTATCGGTGATGATAATGCATGGTTTTACAATGATAGTTGCATTTGCTCAAACAAGAAGTGTACACAAAAGAGTTGACAGAATATAGAATAGTGTTCCACGAAGACCCACGTCTACAATGCAAAGATTGGATCTTATCATCCTTCACTCTGTATCCTAGTTCTTCTTTGGGCTTAGTCTCTTACATTGTTTGTTGTCTCCATATTTAGACAATCCTTCATACAATTGTTAAACTAGTCTACCATTCTACAGTAGAATGAATAGTTTTCTCTTCGTCTAGTTCTTATGGCTTGGTGGAAGCCAAGTGGCTTGTTTGTTTATTTTCCAAAATGGAAATGGAATGATAAATTGCCATTATTTTGTCAACTCTTGTTCCCTTGTGATACATACGTTTATCAAAATACTGACAATCTAAAATCTATAAAAGAAAATAAAACATTGTCAACTCTTGTTCCCTTGTGATACATACGTTTATCAAAATACTGACAATCTAAAATCTATAAAAGAAAATAAAACATTTTCTATCCCTGGTAATGTGGTTTTGTTGACTAATACATTCATAAAATGCTCGAGTTTCTTATTAAGAT